GATGTAGAAAAATTAATGTAAAAAAATGACAGTAATGCAGTCACAGTATTATAATGGAAATTAGTGACACGCTGATTAAAATAAAGAATTAAAAGTATTGAATGCTGTACTATTAAATTTTTGTCCATGTTGTAATATTCAAAAAGCACCTTTTCAATACATCGTGCACACAACTCCCTAGGTGAATTTATGTAGATATAGTGTGAACACCAGTCTAATGTATCTGGTAGAGTCTGAGTAGAAGGAGTTTAGTCTTTGGCAATAATACTGTATACACTTCTTGTATATTAAAGTATGTAACAGTTTTCTATTTTTGTGGTTGTCATGCTAATTATCTCCTCCTGTTTTAGTGACTTGTTTATTTCTCCAGGCCGTGGAGCTCCCAAAGGAGGTGTTCCAACACTCTGCACTACCTGAGTGTTAAAACACATTGTGAATGTTATTGAACCACTAGTGTTCTACCCGTAATGTGCATGCAAATTATGTTACACAACATTAACTCAATTACATAACATGTACACAGTTGTATTTAGTTCTGTAAAGTTTTAGATTACGTTGTCTGTCTTTGTTCGCCTATTTATCTATAGTGTCTAGGCACTTCATTCCCCCCCAAATCCCCCCGGGCTCTCTCACTGGTGCAAACCTTACCTCCCTGCTTGTGCTAGAAGTCTTCTTTTGTTGACACTGAGCTCTACAGATCACAGCAGTGGGTCTCTAATAGAGAGGAAGTTGGACCTCTTGGCAAATAAACCACTTTTCTTCTTATCAGGTTCACCTAATTAATTGCTACAGCTTTTTTCTTCTCTCTCTGCATGCAATCGGAACAGAATCAGAGTCACTTAACTTATTTAAACATAATGAATGGAGTTCTGCAGGAACAGTTAGTGAGAAAAGAATGTAAAAGTTCAGTGTGCACACCTCCATGAGTTTTCTCTTTTAATGAGCATAGAATCTTCTTGTGCAATAGCTTTATTAAAAGAAATACCTAAATTCTGCTGATGCTCATTCAATACATTGGCTGGCCTTTCTTAGTATCTGGCCTGTCTTTGTGTCAAAGTGATGAACATTAGAACAGTAGGATATTTGAAATACTTGAATTATTTTAAAAGAATAGGTCGCAGGTCGCAGAAAAATCCAGTTTACTCTCTTGCACCAAACATATTCAACTGGCTGACATGTTTAGTGTCCAAAGTTCTTCTTCAGTTTTGCACTGAAGCTATGAGGCTAATATAGCCTAAACGGAAAGGACGTGTATGTCACCTAAAGTTTTATAGAGCCACTTCTACTACATTAGATTTGTATCTCCAATCTGAAACTGCAAAGAAAAAGAAGCAAATACCATGAAAATTTAAAAGCAGTATGTTGGTTCCACTGCTCCAGCTTCAAAACTGAACATTTGCAAAATTCTAAGAAAGTCTTGTTTCCCTTTTTTGTTGTTGCTGTTGTTTCAGTCAAACTTTCAGGTCAGCTGACCTGGTAGCATCTATAAAACTTGTGCTGTCAGACTAAAACTTTCAGTCGTACAAAAAAAAATGTAAACATACACAGAGGAGTACAGCTGAAACATTTTATATTCAAAAATGAACTGGTTCTAAAAGATGTCCTCTCCTCCACCCCTTTGCCATCTATGATTAACATTTCTAGATCCGCCACTGCTTTCAGATGAGCTAATGCTGAAGATATTCAGAGCAATGTTAGAAGCTGAGGAGGAGGCATCATCTTACACAGGGTTATTCAGCAAACCTCAAAGAATTGCATGCATATAAGTGCATTAATGTTTCTCTTTACATACAGTGTTTATAATCACAAAGCTGAGGGCTGTATAGTCCTGTTTAATCTGAATTATCAGGTTGACTGTCAACAACTAAAAAAAGATTACTAGTTAGCTAACTGATACTGACATTCCTCGTAGTGATTTTTAGCAAATATAGTAAGCCAGATGAAGTTTAGCTTACCTAAGAGTCAGCAAGTCTTTCTATTAATCCTTTTGATATTAAACTGTGAGATTTGTCCTCCACAGAGTTTTATCCAAAGCCTTTTGAGCTTAAGGAATCAAATAAAAAGCACCACCCTCCAGATGATCAGGAAAACATGTGTCAGGCATCATTTGTGCCTCAGTAACACCTTTTAACCATTTCTTAGTCTGATAATTCCGAGTAGTTTACTGCCACTGTTGTTCTTACTGCAGGTCTGGGGAGTTTTGTCAGAGCTTGTGCTTCACTTGACGAAGGAAGTGTTGTTAAGCGACGAGATTGGCTGAGGGGCGGGTCACTCATAGTTTTGGAACTGATCAATTGTTGATTAATAGTAACTTCAATTCAGTGCAGTAGCAATAGTTGCACTGCTCCTTTCCAGTTCATTGAGTGATGCGGCATCTGTGGAAGATGCAAATGAACCATAGTTCAGGAATTATACTGTTGTATTATCCTATATTCTCCTATATATAAGTTGATTATTTTACTTACCTGTCATGCTTCCATCTCTGCGAAGGCTGCAACTTTCCTATTTTTCCTCCTTACTCCTACTCCAATTTCTTTTCCTACCAAAAACAACTTGAGTAGGAGTAAAAAGTTTCAGGTCAAAAACTACTGAAGTACCCAGTTTCATGTAGAACCGCAGTGAGACTTCTTAGTAGACACAGTATCCATCGACATGGGCAGTATTCTTCTCATTTCGCTCTAAAAATGAAATGCTACAGCTTGAAAGTGAGAGATGTGACCAACAGCAAAGCAGTCCATGTGCTGAACGAGAAGAACAGAATGCAAATAAACACAAAAATTAGGAATTAATAGAACGTCCATGACAGTTTTACTCAGCTAAAATTAACTGATCAAATCTGGTGTGTAGTTTCTACAAACCACATACGGAGCAAAAAATCCTCCTACCCATTTCCACATAATGAGACCTTAAGAATCCAGCACTTTCTCCTAAAAATAAATCGAGCTAGCGTTAGTTAAAATGTGATGGCTGCAGCGTATCCCTTCTCTATCTGAACAGTCTGAAATTCATCATCATTGGAAGTCACTGAAACTCCCTAACACCCCCTGTTTTTACTTTGTCATCTTTCATATAGCATAATCCTGTCTGACTGCAGAGGGGCTATGGGATAGGGGGAAGTATAGTTTATTCATAAGTCCCTGTAGAACTGCCATATATGCAGTAATTTGAACAGCTGAACACTTTTGAATGATGGCTTGTCTTTGCAGCTCTTTCACACTACAAAATCCTTCTAGCTCTGCTTAAAGCAGCAAATAAGAGGGCACAGAACCAGTCCTGTGTAGACCTTTCTGGCCTATTGATAATCACTGTTCATGAGAGATTATTTGCTAGGATATATACATAATCCTTTTCAGAACAGACTGGCATGTTCTCTGGCATACGAGTACTAATATCCACAGTGATCAAAACCCTGAAAAATATCTAAACTGTCCCTTTAATCGTAGCTCACAGGGAATGTAGCATTGAAGGAGCATCTGTTCCAGTGTTTCAGGCCAGCAGCTGTGGTGAAGCTAAGAGTATTGTAGGATGTATGCGTGTGCATATTTGTGTACATGTTCACTGGGGAAGAGCAGTGAAGTAACTACTTATGGGGGTGTGTTTTGGTGGGGGGGGGCTACCAAGCTCCTTAAAATTATTATTGGGACCTCATATAGATACTGACACAGATATACACCCCTAACTCACAGAAAGGCCCAGTTTCTCATCTATGTACCTCACCAGTCAGCCTCACCAGTCAACATTACACAGACAGCCCTGATGTCTATTTACCCCCCTTCTTATTCATTATGCACCTCATCCATGATAACCATTTTCAACAGATCCTTCACAACCTGCAACATGATACATTTATTATTTATCATTTTTAAATCATTCCTTTTTTTGCACTGGGGCCCATAAGATCCTAGTCATACCACCAGGAAGGGGGGTTCCTGTAAGTATTTCTTAGAACTGGCAAAATTAATGCAGTAGAGGTCTGCACAGGCTCGATTATGAACGCACCTGCTTCAACCACATGTAACGCCCGGCTGCACCCACAGAATCTAGTGGTAATCTTGCCTGCAGGCACCCACTTCAACCACGTCGTGCCCACCTGCACCTGCTCACTTTGGATATAGTTCTTTTCCACATGCATATAGCCTTTGGAATCTGCTACAGCTGGCACAGAACGTACCCACGCAACCTCCGTTGCCACAGGACGATGCAGCCTCCCCAATCCTCACCCACCGCACCTCCAAAAATAAAGATTTAAAAGTTGGAAAATAAAAAGAAACAATTTGTATGTTTTCAGGCTGAACATAATTGTGAGAAATTGAACATAACACCACAAAATTACCATGGCATGACATCAGCATGTCAACAGACAAGGGTGCAACAGCATTATCCAAGCAGCCAATATCACTTTGCTATATTTATCTGTGTCAAGATAATATTTTTTTCTGTATCAATATTATATTATTAGTTAATTATACCACAGAAAGCCTAAAACATAAAAAAAACAAATAGCTGCTGTGGCATACCGCAAAGTAGGTTGCAAAGGTAAAACAGTTTGCTTGGGAAAAGTGCAGTTATATTTAGTGGAAGTTACAGAGCTTCTTCATAACATGTTTCTCTCTGCAGCACACTTGCAGCATATTTGTTGCCCACCCGTCCGCTTCCACAATCATCCAATAATCTGATTATTCAACTCTGCCCTACCCAGCAAGTCATAATACCCACCCGCACTAGCCTGCAACATGTTGGCTGTTTGCCCGCCATGACCGCGGTGCCGCTAAATTAATCCCGCCACAAATTATTTCACAGATCACGCAGGACCCATGAGTAAGCCCGCCTTGCAGACCTCTATAATTCATTGCAAACAATGCAAACTAATAATACATCTGATCTCAGGGACATGACTTACAAACAGCACAAGGCATACAAACCATCTTCCAGTTCATGTACTGTTATAAATAAACAATGTGCTTATTTGCTTGTTGTATGTGCTCTTATCTCAATGGCAGATGTACATCCAGACAACCACTCTGACCGTCTCAGTCAGCCTGAGTGCCTCTGTGTCTCTGGGGTTGCTCTACATGCCTAAAGTCTACGTAGTGCTCCTCCACCCTGAGCAGAATGTGGCCAAGCGAAGCACTCGCAGCCTGAAAGCCGTGGTCACTGCTGCCACTATGTCCAACAAGTTCAACCCCAAGGGCGGCCTGCGGCCCAATGGAGAGGCCAAGACTGAGCTGTGCGAGAACCTGGAAACTCAAGGTGAGAGAGTTATAGATAATAGCTAATTTAGTCAAGGGGGCCACAGTTTTGTACATTCCTTAAAATGCTAAAGGTTGCCATCAGGTTAAGAACAAATGAGATGATAATGGGAACTCGAGTCCAGGATAAAAGAGTTGAAAAAGCTTCAAGGTGCTGCAGTTCTCCTTTTATGTTTTCTATTATGCAGTAGGCAGATTTAGGTCACTGAAAAAACAAGGTTGACGTTCTTAACGCCAACTTTAGATGGGATTGGTTAATATTTCAGACATTGTCCAGTCTATTGAATTTTACAGATGTCACTATAAATTTTTAGGGGTAAATGAGTTCTCTTATAATTATCCTGTAGTGCCTTGTAGAAATCATCCCCCACTATTTGGAAACCAGTGAAATGGGGCAGAATGTAGAGGGCCTTTCTACAACAGCCTTAAATAGGAGCCTGAAAGACTGACTCAGCAGAAATAACTTGGGTGATTATGCAAACCCACACCTCTAACTTGCATTTGCAGTGAGCAGAGAGCTTTGAAGGGTGTCCATGGAGAGATACAGCCACCAGTCTATGGTTTCAGGAGAATAACCCACTGATCTTGTAATGTTTTAATAAAAAGCTAAAAAAGCTGCTGTTCACTACAAGTAGGAGTGGATACTTGCATATTATAGACCAGGGATCTCAAACTCAAATTACATGATGGCCACTAGCCAGGTGGTCTTCTCCAAGGAGGGTCTGGTTACAATAATGCAGGGATAAAAATGTCCCTTTCTTCGTATATCAATTTAGCTACATAGTATATGCACTTATTTAAGTGCATCATATTCAGTGTTTATTAGCAATTCTGTTCAAAACAACTACTCCTACTACTACAAATGATGATTATTATTATTAGTAGTAGTAGTAGTAGTAGTATAAATACATAGTGTTTAGTAAAGCAATAAGCCATAATTGCAGTAAAGCACGGCCTCAAGTTGCTTATTGCTTTTATAAAATGGTGGCCAACATAAAATACGATAAAATACACAATTTTTCAGAAAAAATTTAAATTATTTTTATAAATAAATGATTTATTTATATAAATAATTTGCATATGTGTTACATAAAGATTTTGCCAATAAATGTAGTTCCTTTAGAGTATGATATGAATGAGGAGAACGTTCGGTCACCCATCGCTGTGTACTGCGGTCATTTCATGCTTTTTTTTTTTTTTCATATAACTTTTTGTCATACATCAATGAACATATGATAACGCAGCACTGTTTAATTCAAAAACTTTTGGTTTATAAGTACTTTTTGGTCACCAAATCACCACCGTGAGTCTTATTTAGCTTCAATCCAGCAGCATCCCTCTTCTCATGCTGGGGCTGAATCCAAAATGGCTCCCTGCTCCCTGCATAGTGCACTACGTAGGAATTTAAATACTTGATCCTTGAAAAGAGCAAAATATAGCTAAGAAATAGTTATTTGGGACTCAGACACATCCATACTCGACAAATAACACACTATTTGGCTGTAGAAGCTACAATGTCTAAACTTTCATAGCTAGCACACTATTTAGGGAGTACAGAGCCATTTGAGATTCAGCCTGGGTTTGACGCTACTTCTGACTGAAACATGAACACGTAAAGCGTGTAAGCAATTTATGTACGATATTTTTAGCCCTTTATACTACCGTTATACAGTTAACCATACCTACTACTTTAATAAGTACTTTAATTCGAGCCTGTGATATTTATGATGGAGTTGTTTAGGCTGTTGGCTATGTTTTAGCCTGTTAGCTAGCTGGCCAGCCTAGTTTTGGTTAAGAACATAAGTTTCCAGCCTCTCAGTTTAAACAAAAAATGGGTTTTCACTTCATCAGTACACTCGGTGGTCCATGCGAGCAGCATGAGAGTCAAAGATTATACTATTAACAGCACAAGTGCCGAACGCAGCCCACCAGTCATATTTTAGGACCGGAACTATCCGTTTTATAATAAATATTTTAGTGTTCAGTTAAATCAAGCAAAGTTACATGTAACAGCAGATTTTTTTTTTGGGATTCTTATTGTGATAGCTGTAGCATTCTTGCTGAACATTAGTGAAGTTATTCACTAAGTGGAGTGTTTACAAAGTAGAGCAGTTAATCGATGTTGAATTCTATTTGTTTGTTAATTCTGACATGCTGTATCTGCCATCATGTCATGAATGGATCTACAAAGTCTTGTTGAGCTATCGGCCTAAATTAGGATATTAGCTAATTTAGTCGAGGTTGAACTACATGCCTGCCCCCTCAATATGCAGCGCTCATGCTGTGTCAGGTTTTCATCTGAATGGTTCCTCTTGAGTGCAGCGCCCTGTTTTTGCCTTTAGCTTAAGTTGATTTTACATCACTTATAGTGAGTAACCAGCCACAGTGTGTGGTGGGTAAAACATATCTATCCATGAGATTCTAATATTTAGCTGTAGAAAAACAAGTTTGGATTTCAGGTTGAATTGTAAATATGTGACAGCCAGTTTGAGAATCCTGTTATAGGCCATGTTGTCTTTTCTCTTTCAGGACTCAGCCCCAAACAGACCTACATCAGCTACAGCAACCATGCAACCTAACAAAGTGAAAATGAGAAGAAAAAATGTGAAGCATGATGCCAGAAGGACAGCGTAACGTGGTTGATCACTTTTATGCATTTCATATGAAGCAGAAAAAAAAAACAAAACAAAGCCAACTTTGGTAGCCCCACAGAAATATTCTACTGAATGGAAACCAGATGAAGATCCTAAAAGGGACGTGTTAATAGGCCGATACTATTTGGAACATAGCTGAAAGCTTTATCCAGTCATTTCGTAAGGATCTTCCCAACAGTTATCTGAAAAAAGATTCCCAAAGGATCTGCCCAGCCGTAAAAGCACAAGAAGCAAATCCAAGTCACTGCTATGGACTTCAAGTGTAGAGTTTTGGAACAAACATGGCAAGAATCAACCCCCTGGAAAAGGACCTCTGCCCAAAATTGTTATGAACAGTGGTGCATGTGTTAACCAGAGAATGTAAAAGTAAACATGTATGCAATGCTTCTTTGTTCTAATTGATATTTGAAGAACTACATGTCCACTTGCGTATTCTGAATAGGGACATAGCAAGGATTCGACATGGTGGATACGCAATGTTCTGAAATGCTGTTGTGCTGAACATGTGAATCACTTCAAACACCCTTTTTGTCCTTTAAGTCTGCCTCTTCATTTCCAATGTGTGGTTCAAGCTTGGTCAGACGTATAAAGACAACACAAGATTAAAGTCTTCTCACTGTTTTGGATACAAGCGGTAAATAACAGTATGTCATATTGTCAACTGTTTGCCCTTGAATCAAGATGACGAAGGGGAAAAAGTGTTGATTTACACAGAGACTTGGACTGTAAAGGACCCCAAAACATCACAGCTGTCACCAGAGCAGAAGATTTACTTTATGGTAAACCTTAAATTTGGTCATTTGGTTATTTTTGCTTAATTTGGTCTTGTTAATGAAACTGGTCTGCAGCAGTTCTGGGCTTGTGCCATGGTAAAATATTATAGCATTGTACTGCCATTAGTTTCATGTTTCATTATTCTGGAACTGAAATACTAATAAATGTATTTTTATAGGTAATGCAGAATTGGAGTCATGCAGTTTTCTGTGGAGAAAACCTCGGGAACCAAAGCCCCTATGGCGAAAGGTAAAAGAAACATCTGAGTTCCAAAACTCAGTGATGTCAAAGTGCTCTCAGGAGGAAACTACGTATTCTGTTCTTTTCTACATTCTAATTTCTTTGCTATAGGTTTTTGTTTCAGTCTTTTCCCACTGGAAGACACAGTAATGAAAATGTTCTGAATAAGAAAAAAAAGCCAAGCGTCCATCCTTCAGATTGACAAAAATCATTTTTGAATATGTTCCTCTACTGTGATCTGATTTGTTTGTGTATGTGTGAGAGAGTGTGTGCGCTTATGTACTGACACATTTGATCATTTAATTATAAAATATGTATAATTGTGAATAAAGAGAAAACCATACTGCAAATTCTGGCTGCCTTTGACCTCTGTTAGTGTCGACGGTGGTGGGAGCTGCCATCAGTTGACTAGTTGTGGGTCATCAGTGTCACATCTCCTCTAGGTCATGAGTCCGATTAATCAAAAGTTTGTTCCAGACTACAGTGACCTATCCAGCTCCAGCAACAATCTCAAGATCCAGTTATCATAATCAATATCAAAGGCATGTTTCACCAAATTAAGTCATTTGCATGATGTCATACATCACTATTATCAGGATTTCCACACATCCTGGTAAATTTGGAAATATATAGACTAGTCATGGAAACACCTGGAACATAAGAAAATTGCTAAAATGTTCTGGAAATATTATTGATGTCCTGTAAAATATATAGCTGTGCTTTTAAGCCACTGATATTTTTTTTAGACTTCCATTGAAGCTCTTGTTCAAACAATTCTCAAGTGGATTTGATCTACTTATCGGAGGCTTTTGTCACTGTTAGTGATCACTGATCAGAGTCTGTGCCAGCTCAAGTGCACACTGTCATTAAACCAAAAGGGAGACAATTACTAAGGAGTTCTGAAATTCATGTTATGTTATGCTGATAATGTAGTTTGTAATGAAAAATTAATCAAATTACAGAAAAATGCAAAATAGAGGCATTTTCAGTAATGGTCTCAGACTTTTGGTCCCTACTGTATCACATTACATACACATTTCATACATGTCTTAAAGCCACAGTAACCAAGGGATAGAGAAAGGTTGGAAAATGATCATGTAACAAAAGAAACTGACCATTTTTTACATAGGCCCACACAAATGTCATGAGTGGACCTCAGTGATAAAAGAATAAAATACAAGAAAAATGTAGTCTAGTATTTTATCATCAACAGCCATTTTTCTCCTAACTTCACCAATTCCTCATGAATGTCAAGGCAAAATCTCCATTGGTGGTAGAAATCTTTCATAAACCACAGGAACCTGTCATCTAGTATCTGTAACAGTGTTGGAGGCTCAGGGCTGGGTCAGCTTCAACCTGTCCACAGTACACATTGTAGATACTTTGAACACTGAATCTATGAGCAGTGCTCATGCAAGCAAGGATCCTTTGACTGGTTCTCAATTTGTTTAGTGCAAATGGAACATGCGGAGTCACGCCAGGGTTAATGCAAGCTATCAACAGTAACATGGGTGTATGAATTTAGCCTTTGAAACATCTCGAGATCCTTCCAAAACTAGTAATTTCAAGGGTCAAATACTTGGAGCAAGTCTATACAAGAGAATTTTATATTAAGAGAATAATACGAAAATGGTATATTCCATAGCACTGGGTTCTGACACAGTGTTGAGATAACATTTGAAAACTGATATGTTTGTCTTATTTGGTTCTAAAAAAAAAGCACTTTTAAGACAACTTGCAAATTCAGCAAGGCCATTTATTATGTTGAAGTATAACATACAACAAAGGAAGCATGGTGCGGCAGTAATCCAATCTAGGATTAATCAGCACAAAATGGAGATCTGATAAGCAACAATAATTTGGGAATAAATCCCATTAATTCAATTGATACATTAATTTTTTTATTAATCAAGAGGAAAAAGCAGAGTTCCACTGAACGTTGATAGTTTGATAACACCATTAATGATCTTGCCTCTCTCATTGAGCAACACAAAGACTTTGTCAAATTTCTGCAGCTGCACTATAACTGCATTGGAGCTGCTTTCCCCTCTGAGGGGCTGCTCTGGTGTAGACTCATAAACGAACGATGCAACTAGCTCATCAGTATTCTTGAAGATGTGCAACGTTGTTGACTCACTGTGACTCCATGTGAAGAAATAGGTCGAAAAAGTATAGACACCATTAACTGGGGCGGTGAAGACACCTGCATGTAAGAAGAAAGACAAAGCAAAAAAAAACATCCATTTCTTTATGAAAAAACTGAAGAGAATAGAAAAATTATGTTAAGAAAGACAATCTGTGTAATTTCTTTGATTGTTGAGAACACTTGTTTCTCATATACTGAACAAATCTGTGACTTTCTGATGAAAAGTGCTTTTGTTCAGGACCTGTTTCAGAATCATAAGCCCCACCAACGTTGGTTATCACGTCTTGATAGATCAAAGTAGTGTGATAATCAAAGGGACCAGTATGATCTTGTCCTAATGCAGCAGTGAACGCCACCTGTGGAGTGGCTAAAGTCACAAACAGAAGAAATAAGAGTAATTCATTTAAAGGAACCAACAAAATTTACACAATCTTCATATTACTGTAGAAACTGCATTACCTTTGCTCATTCTTTTCAGCTCCAATACAACACTCTCAGAGGCAGCCAGTTTGGTTTGCAGTTCTGTCTGCTTCTTCTCTGATTCATCAAGCCTTCTTTGAAGCTCCTTCTCTGCCTTTTCAGATGCAGACAGTCTTTTCTCCAGAGTCAGCAGCTTATTTATGACTGCAAGTATGTAATCATCGTCACCTGTTGAGCTGTATCAGAAATTTGACAAGTTAACTTCTGAAATTCTTGACCTTATAATTAATGTTGATCACTGGTAGACCTTTTTAAGGCTAATTTATAGTCTGACAAGAAATGTGTGTGTGGGTGTATATGCTGATTTTGTGCCCACCTGTCTATACTGGGCCTCATACTGAGACACATCTAATGACTATTTTTTTCCACAATGACAAGTACAGATAGGGTTAATTGTAAACACTGTTAAATTAATACAAATGTATAAAAATCTGTATAAAGTGGGCTTTCCATCCCAAATAAATAAAAATGTATGCATTAAAATAAGTACAAAAAGTGAAAAGAGGCTGTGTCAAACTCTGGCAGACTTATTGTTGACCACAAAGTAGAACAGCGAATGTCAGCACAATAAAATTGAAATGTATTTACATGATATCTACACTCTCTCACTGTCCATTTTATCAAGTCTGGTGAACTTTATGGGTTTTAAAATTACAGACTGTAGTCCATTTGTTCCTCTGCATAATTTGTTAGCCCACATTAACCCCATTCATCAATAACCAGAGGGCCACCACTGAGCAGGCACTATTTGGGTAGTGGATCAATCTCAGCACTTCAGTGACACTGATATGGTAGTAGCATGTTTGTATGTGAGTGCTGCACAGAGTGGAGCACACACAGCAGTGTTGCTGGAGTTTTTAAAGGAATAGTTTGTCCAAAAATCACATTTGCATGATTTTCCACTTACCCCAAATGCAGTCGATCAGCCAAAACATGTTGGTCTCAAATTTTTCACCTTTAGTTTAGAAGTGAAGCTACAAGGCTAACATCGCTTACAAACACCGACTGAGTCAGCACAACTGTTTTCATACACACCCAACCCCCTCAAACTGCATCTTAATTTAGGTTGTGCAGACACATCAGTGTGGTTTAGAACACAGTATGACTCACTTTTAATTATACAAGCTAAAAAAAAAACTCTCAGAGTAGCTAAAAGAAGGGGCAACCATTTAGGATAACTGCAACTATTTCCTTCCTGAGCACAATTTGGTGTCCTTCCACAAAAGACGACCAAAGGCGGGGCTAAAGGAGTTCACAGACGCACCACAGGCAAGGTGCGGTATACAAGGGTGGTCTGGAAATACTAGGTGGTCTGGGACCTCCTGATTAATCTCTTAGATCCCCAGCGTGTCTCAAAATCAAACTTCTAGGAGGTCCTTGAAAATAAACTTTATTATTTTGCTTATGCTGTTCATTAGGGCAAAAAGACCCTAAAATACAAATTCAGGGACTTCACAATTGACAAGCTTCTGTCTTTCATATTCTTCTATTCTAACTATGCAGTCTTCCTCAGAGTGGTGCTGTAGCAAATTAGTTCACACAGTTGGTCCTTCATAGCCTAGCAACTGTAACTATACTCAGAATTCCTCTGAAAATCTTTACAATGTGCCATAGCATGTTTGCAAATCTGAAAACTTGCCAGATTTCTCAAGAGATTGGTGAAAAGTGTGAAATGATACACATACTGGACCCCCCAGTGACTCCCCAGACCACCTCTTAGCTACATACACCATGACAGTAAGAAAGCACAACAAAGGAAAAAGTAACCAACCTCAGATTCATTTTTTGATTCTTTAAAGTGGTTCTATGTGACAAGCTCTAAGAGGGTGATTAAAACAATACAGTTCTGAATTATGTGACTTAAACACACCCCAGTTGTGGAGAAACACTCTTGATGAAAAAAGGTAATTTTGGGTGAATCTAGATTAATGTCTGTAAGAAAGCTGTGAGAATTTGCAGCTCATATTGTCACGATAATACAAGAATATGACCCAAAGCATGTGCTACATGACTATCTATATGACTGGATAAATAATCTTATACGTTTTACTCTGCTTTAGGTTGTATCCTGCACTCCTCTAAATAAAACAACAGTTGTCTTTCTTCATGTAACCAGTTCACTGCAACTTCCCCTAAGCCACATAAAGGAGTTTTGGGTATAGGCCATACAAAGATACAGAGATGCACTGCTAAAATCTTAAAAAAGAAAGAAGAGAAATTTTTGCAGTGAATGGTGTCCCAGTTCAGGCAAGAACCACAAAGATGCTATGTGTGATTCATCTTTTTGACCTTAATGCTGCTGTAGTTGGATAACGAATTCAGAGCATTTAAAAAGGAAAAAAGTTCAATGTAAAATGAAGTTACAGCACCTTTTGTGGTCGCGAAGCTGTATAGATTGATATCAGTGATTATTAGTGCTTCAGTGTTCAACTGGTATCAACTAGCTTTGCTGTTACCAGGTGTTAGCAAACGCCCATTAGCATGTTGTATGTCTCAAATGCTTTCCTTCTCACATTGTTGTCATATGGAAAATAAATTGTTGCTCCAGAGTACTTCAACCCTGGCACTGCTTTCAAATGACTAACTGAAGTACTAATGGATGCTTACAAAATGCCCCAAGCTACTCTGCTGTTTGGGCTGCAGATGGTGGGAGATACTTTCCAGGCAAACATAACACCATTATAGATGTTCTCTAGTGGCTTATGCAGAAATATTATTTATGCATCAGCTCTGTTTTGCCAAAGAGCTGAACTTCCTGGTGAGCCCATTGACCAATGCATTTTAGCGCTGTGGGAGTTAATTCAGCACTATACAGCTGGAGCACTCAAGGACACATTTTGTGAGAAAACATGGAGAAAACATCATGAGACCTGTTTACACTTTCTGCCTCAATTATACCGTACATCAATACCAAAATCAAAAGAACCTCTACTCTATCAAAACTAGCAAGGGTAGTTCTAAAATGTTCTAACTAACAAAAAAGTATTATATTTGGATATTCAACTTGAGTTAATTTTAAAAATGTAATGGAGCTTGTTTGTTACCTGAAATGTAATATACATTATTCAAAACTGGAGTTGAGATATTATGGTAACACTTTATTTGGAGTGGTCCTTTGTAGATGATTAATAAACTCTTAACAGATTATCAGTGAAGTAGCAATAGTGAAGCATCTGAATACACTGAAGTAAATATCCTGAGGATGTTTCTGTTGATACAATACTTACATTAAGTAGATGTATTGTTACTATGTTACCTCCATTACGCAAAACCTCACCCTCACCCTGGGCCTAATCCTAACCCTAACCCTAACCTTAACCCAAAACCTAATCCTAACCCTCATATGTTTTTCACATGTTACTGAGAGTCTGTTGAGTGTTTGTTTCATCTGAAAAGGACCACTCAAAATAAAGTGTCACCAATATTCTATTAATAATTAATGATTATATTACTATAATTATTTTGGAAATAGGTAATGATTTATTTTAGGTGGCCATTGTAATGCCCTGTTCTTAAATGACCAGGACCCTCAAAAGACCACCACAGAGCCAGTATTATCTGGATGATGGAACATTCTCAGCATTGCTGTGACACTGACGTGGCGGTGGCTTGTTAGTGTGTGTTGTGCTGGTATGAGTGGATCAGACACAGCAGTGCTGCTGGAGTTTTTAAACACTGTGTCCACTCACTGTCCACTCTATTAAACACACCTACCTTAATTGTCCACCTCAGAGACAATAGCTCATCTGTTGCTGCACAGTTTGTGTTGTTCATCCTCTAGTCCTTCATCGGTGATCACAGGACACTCTTGGCTGGATATTTTTTGGTAGGTGGACTATTCTTAGTTCAGCAGTGACACTAAGGTGTTTAAGAGCTTCAGCAGCACTGCTGTGTCTGATTCACTCGTACCAGCGCAACACACACAAACATGCCACCACCACATCAGTGTCACTGCGGTACTGAGAACGATCCACCACCCTGTAGGGTGGTCCTGTGGGGGTCCTGATCATTTCCTTAAATATTTCTATAAACAAAAATGATACCCTCAAATCTTAACTCTATGTAGCCAATTGTACAGGTTGACTCACTGTAGTATAGTATTATGTATTATGATTTCAACATGAAATTGTAACATTCATTATCATAATCAGCTTCAAACTATAATTACATAATCAAGCTGAATGTAAGCAAATGAGTCATCTCTATTTGAAAACTATTTGTGTGTGTGTGTGTGTGTGTGTGTGTGTGTGTATGTGTGTGTGTGTATGTGTGTGTGTCTAGATATGTATTACTCACTCAATCAGAAGGTCATCACTGGCCAGTGTACAACCAACACAGAGAAGTGTAGAAAGCAAAACAAATCCTGTTTGAAAACGAGCAAACACCTGAAGCATCACACATACACACACACACACACACACACACACACACACACACACACACATGCACATACAGATATACAATACATCTGTAAGATGTTTGACATATTGATACACAAATGATTGAGTCATTATACCATGTACACTAGAGTCTAAAGGTCTGAGACCACTAGCATCCAAGTTAATACAAAATATTGTATCACAAATTCTATTATTAGCATAACAAATTGCATGAAAAGTAGAATCTTTGAAATATTTAATGAATGTCCGAAAGCTTGTAATTGGTATGCCCCTCTTTTGCTTTGACTGCGCGCATATTAAACAATGGCTACAAGTTGATTAACAAGGCTTTGATGAGTAGAGAGTCGTCTGAACGCGTGCTTCAATGGAAGAGATGAAACTAAAAATATCTGACCTTTTTGTACAAAGGACTTAACATTTACTTTGGGATGTAATTGTATATCATCGATGATTGACAGGTAACCCAGTGGCCATACCTCAAAGACGATAATTGCTATTTTGGCCTTCTAAATCATGAAAAATAATATGTACACATAATGTTTTATTCACTTTTACATTTAAAAGGATGATTAAGGTGCCTTAAATAGCCATTAGGCAATGAAAGAGTAAATCACCCCCCCCGCCCCATCTCTGCTGAGAGTTTCCCAGAGTTTGACATTCCATGTCAGAAAAATTATCTGCATTTTGCGTTTGTGTCCCGGTGGTTCAAATGAGTTAAATTGTGAAAATTATGTAAATGTAACACCGCATGGTTCTCCAAATGCATTTATAGCTGACCTCCAGAGTGACTCAGAAAACACGTTTTTTTAAGTATGTAAAGCATGTGGGCGCAGCTTTGGAAACCACTCCTTTAGATCATGTGTTGCTGTCTGATGTTTCTCCAGCAAGGGGAGCAGGTCATCATGAACCTACACCAGAATAAGCTTGTGAATGCATGTTTGAGGCAATAACTATTAAAACAATAGGTGAAGTAGATATAATGGATAATTGTTGACAGTGCCCAGGCGTAGTGACCTAGTAAGAGTGCATAATCTTAAATGTTTCTTCTTCATTTGAATTGTTAACATTTTCTGCTACAGTTTCAGTTTTACAGTTTCAGTTTTAATTTATTTCAATCATAAAACTTTGATTATTTCCAGTTATAAATAAAAAAGTCCAGGCTTTTCAAAGTGGTCTCAGACTTTTGGACTCTACTGTACCTACTACAAAGTCTGCATTCATTATTCACTCGCAAGGAGGCAAGTTGCTATAACTGGCCTAATTTTGGTCTACTTTTTCTGTTTGAGAAAACATATACAATACAATAAAGGATCATAAACATTGACTGGATGAAAAGAGAAAAAGAATTTTGACTTGCCATCTTAGTAGTGCGGATTCACGGTTTCAGCCTTAAAGGGGAACTTCTCTGTTTAATCGCCTGAGATGATGATCTGACACCGACTTCTGACAGTGACCTGTTATACATGGCTCAGGCTCATGTCCCCACCCACACTGCAAATTCACAGGAATGATATTGCCATTTATTTATCCGTTGCCTTGAAGAAAATTCAATAGAAAACAAAAGAGCACAGAGCACTCAAAGAGCGCCTGATTATAAAGAAGTACAAGATTCCAATTGTATTTTACAATGATGTGAATTCGCACATAATCTTATTTTTATGCAGAACAAAAACAGCATGATTTGTTATTATGCAGTATGTTACTTATACAGTCTTGGACTGGTAGATTACTGCACTTTTCCTACAATATGATCTTAGCAATGAATTGTCTTCATCTGAATTTGGCATTAAAAATAAATAATGATAATAATATAAACACACAAACAATTATTTTTGCTACTAGTTCAATGAAACCTGTGTATTTTGGGTTTTATTTCACTCCAAATTTCACATTTGCTTGTACATTGTCCAAATTTTCATAGACACCCCTCTAATTAGTGGGTTCAGCTACTTTAGGGTGCACCCATTGCTGTACAGTCATTAAATTGCACATAGTTTGTAGAATAGTTTGTCTACTGAAAAGCACAGTCAATAGAATGGTATTTTCTGGAGCAGCTGCACACAAGCCTAAGTGCACCATGCCCAATGCCAAGCACCAGCTAAAGGGGTATGAATCCCCCCAGCACTGGACAGTGCAGCAGAAATAATATGTAATCTTTGCGTTCTCTGGAGTGATGGTGCTCCATCCAATATTTTTGGGATGAGTTAGAGTGGTGTTTGTAATTCAGAACTAATCATTCAACATCAGTACCTGACCTCACGGCAATGTTCCAACATCGAGTGTAAAGCCTTCCCAAAAGAGTATAGGTCGTCACTGCAACAAATGAAGACCCTTGATTTCAGCGGAAACACTGGATGAAAAAGGTGTCTACAAACTTTTGGACACACTGTGTATATTGGAATATTGGATATTCAATCTTTTTTGTACTCTTTCTATTGTCAATTAAGCCAGAGCGTAACGTGCCTAACAATGAATGGAAGCTATTAGGAACATCATAACATGATCTCAATTTCTAGTTTGGACTACAGATGAATTCAAATATTTCCACAGCTTATACATTCCAGTCTTCTTCAAAGACATGGTAGGACAGAAATCTTCAGTTTTTCATAATGTTTACTCAACATTTATGATAACAAAATATCATGCACTTCTGTCCCTTATTGAACAATTTCAGATCGAGACAGGCATCATTCAAGAAAAGTACACACCCAGAGCAGAGCACAAATGAATTCAAAACACCAGCTTCCCTTGTGATGAAAGCTGAATATTAATGCTGGAAATGAAAAAGCAGATTTGCAAGTCAAACCGGAGTGTGTATATATAGGTGTGACTCAGTTGCCCAACTTAGCACAATCTGCTCATGCAGAAGTTCACAACACTTTATCTGTGTATCTGTATTGTTATGAAATTTCTGCTGGTTTCCAAAACTCTAACCTTCGATAGAGGTAAATTTAGGTCACAAGTATGTCACAAAACAATTTTACACTGAAGATCTAAAGGTATCCCAGCCTTAATGTGATTTTCAGTCTTGAGATAAGTGGGAGATTCTTTGTGGTTTAGGTTTTTATTAAGGGTCAGTATGGTCTGTGGCCTGTATCTTTGCCATTTTTATAAACGAGATTATTTACATTGAAGAAATATAGTTCTGATTCAGTTCAGTTCAGTATTTCAACTTATGCAGATAAAAGGGGCACTCCAGCCAAAATGAAAAATTCAACTCAATGTTGTAAGCATTCCTACTCACCTCAACAGTGGTGCCATAATAGTCCTGAGGATGAGATTTAACAGTTTAAAAACTAGGATACCCCTGCCTCTAATGATCTTATCTTATCTAATCTTGAAGGTGGGAGGAAATAAAGTGCTTGGGGAGGATACACAAGGCTGGAATGTTTGACTTTTTTTCTCCACTAGCTGGCTACTACAGAAGGAAGCCAGACAGTTAATGTTGCTGCTAGGAAGCCAAACATAATGTCTATAGCCTCTATACCAGTGACTATTGTTGCATTCAGAATTTATTTGTTGCTGTGGGGGGATTTGTAATGGTTGTGTTATGCATTATGTATTTACGTAATGCATGCTGGGTATTGTAGTGAGAAAACACTGATGAATGCAAGCAAGTTTGTCAGTTCTATGAGGCTAAGGGACGTAATATTGCACTACAGAATATACATAACATACAAAATGATATATTAAATGCGACTTTTGGGCCAGAATGCCCTTTAAGTAATCCACATTTTGTCATCCACAAAAGTTTCGCTTTTGGCAGTAAATAAAAGTGATAATAATTTGATAATAATAATCAAGTCAATTCAAATATTTCTAAAAATATACAGTTGCTTGTTTATAATGGTCACTTGTACAATGGTACTTTTCCTTGGAAACAAAACATAAACTCAAATGATTAGTGCAATATACCCCAAAGGGCCAGTCTACATACAGTACTATGTAAAAGTCAGAGACCACCCTTTCCTTTGTTTCAAGTCAAAACAGCCATTCAGTACAAATTTTTCATTGTCAGAAAATAATGGAGGAAACATATATAACAGAACATTACACAAAAATCTTTAAGTATATCAGTCAATCTGTCAGTCTTAATTTCATTAGTCCACTCTTTACTTCTGTGCACTTTACTGCCACTGCCTTCCAATTTTCCAATTAAAGCTAACCAGTTATAGCTGTATCCTCCCAATAAAAGCTGTTCTCAAAGCTGTCACTGACACTAACCAAAGCAACTAACCAAACACACATTAACTGACCTGTAAATTTCTTTCTCATGTGCATCTGAAATAGCTAAAAGAGATAATAGATAGAAAGGAGAGTAGACATAATACAATTGCATAAACACACTTTCCCAGAACACCTCAGCAGCAGCAGCAGCATTGTCACTTTTAGCCTTGTCTGCACGGGTGCGTCTGAGACAGCGAAAGAGTTTGTCTTGCTTCTCGTTCCCTTGGCTTCCCGCAGCAGAGGGCAGATGAGGGGACAGCAGCAGTGTGTTAATCCGAGACTCATCCCATCTGCTGTGTGGCCGTGGGCTGAGGGTTCAGTCCTCTAGAGAGTGCCTCTGCTTTTCCATCCCGCCGGGCAAGCCCACTCGGATGCAGTATTTAATGGTAACCAACAGTTCCCTCAGGAGCCTGAATTTGAATCTGACGTGACGTAAACATACATTATAATCATCACCAATATTGGGTGTATTATATTTTTTATATTTTGCTGTATTATTTTTTAGTTGATTTATATACAAAAGCAGAGAATATGTTGTTAGCTCACTAGCTTTCTTTTTAAATGAGGACATTTTTTTGTTACTCTCAGAATAAACAACAAAATATTAAGCTCTGATTTTGTATTTTAGGCTTTTAAGTAAATTAAGCTGTGAATGCAGAGTAGGTGACAAATCTGATGCCTGTCTTGCTTACAGACAGCAAAGCTCTGGTTTCAGTCGTGCAAGAAAACACACTCTTTCTATGACCCAGTTACCATCACTGCCCAAAAGAAAGAGACCCCCAGGGATGTCCAGTGGAGAGGGTGAGCAGGAAAAGGCTTCATTAGAACAAGCTGCTTCCATATTTTACGCTAGTTGGATTTCCAATGGATAATTATGATAGTTTGGAATATTTAAAGGGCCTTAATCATGGAAAACTGAATTTTCCTCACTTCTTGGAAATAAAGAAGTTTGATGTGATGTGTAAACATTGTTAAAGTTTCAAAACTGTACAAATCACTCCCCAGTCCATACAATCAATGTATGTAAACATAGCTGCAATAACAGCCTGTTTTGATTTCACTGTTTTCGTGATGTCGCAAAAACCAGTGCGTTTAAATATATCCACCTACTCCTACAGCAGTTTAGCCCAATCATAGTGAAGTTCAGCCCCAATTGCTTTTTGAATAAGGCACAATACAGCACATCCAATCAGAACAGAGCTTGTTCATATATCTCAGCCATATATCATAAGGAGATGTTGGTAAATGGTCATGGAAAAATGAACTACGACTGTTTTGGTATGCAAACTTCATATGTGGACATCATGGGAATAGATAATATACAAGAAAAATGTAGGATATGAGTCCTTTAAGTCAATGTGAGCTGTAAATCATGACACATTTTCCCTCTGTACAGTGTGTCTGACTGAAATGTGGGATGTAGGTGGGTCTCTGAGCTGTCTGAGCTTGAACTTGCTCTATGATAAGTGCACTGTAAAAAGTAGGACAGGGTACAAGTTGACAAGTTCAGTGTTTTTAAAGTTTGAAATTAATTAAAATATTGCGTTTGTTCATCTGAACTAAAATTTTGCATCGTTTCATTCAACGTATTTATTTGAATTAAAACAGTTAAACTTGTTATCCCATGAAGTCATTTTTTTAGGTTGAATTCACAATCCATTTTCTAGTATGGGGTAGTGCATGGCTGACAAGACCGAATGCACAGTACGATGAAAAATGCATTGCAAACCCATGAATGAGATGCAAATTCAGAAAACACTGTCATCAACATGACCACACCTGAACTACATTTCACAAATGCTCTGCAAATAAAGAAAACACAACTTCAGAAAAGCTGCAAAACTAGCCACAACAGAATGGAAATGTTTCTGGGTGACTCAGTGGGGACAGAATATCTGTGATGGAAACTCACTGATAAGACAAATTGATAAGACAACATAGACTCACATTACATTAAGTACATGGTTAACTTGGCTGGCTAGTTAGCTATCTGATAGGTCATAGCTGTACTACGGAAGTTATTAGTCCTATCTGTTATTGCTTTTTGAAATAATAGAGCTATGCTCTACAGCTAATTCCCATTATTAGTAATATTAGTTATTTGCTCAAATAAAAGTTGTTAGGTGAATGTTAAAAGTTTGAACTGCTTCATCCTCTTTGAGCATCTTCCAGAATCAGTTCCGTCATGTTGCCTGA